TGAAGAAGACATAGGCCTTCCCTTCGCTCAGAGGGCTCACGATCTAGTTGAGGGTCCTGGAGACAAGATTCCTGATGCAGGGCTGTGCTGACCAGCATCACACATAGGTGACAAGTTTCAGATAATCATAGTAGCTAAGTGGATGATGCTGTACTGCTTGTGGTGAGCTCTCCCTGGTACAGGGGGCTGTGTGTTACTTCTCACTGAAGAGGAAATTAACAGAGAGTGGCATGATGGCTTGCTTCTCATCCCATCCTCTGAAAGCCAATCAGTATCGGATTAAAAAAAAAAAAAGATAACAGTAATTGTCTTAACATCAAGTTTTTTTTTTTTTTTTTAAAGATTTTATTTATTTATTTGACAGACAGAGATCACAAGCAGGCAGAGAGGCAGGCAGAGAGAGAGAGAGACGCAGATTCCCCACTGAGCAGAGAGCCTGATGTGGGGCTTGATCCCAGGACCCTGGGATCATGACCTGAGCCAAAGGCAGAGGCTTTAACCCACTGAGCCACCCAGGCGCCCCAACATCAAGTATTTTTATAAACATAATTCTTAACAATAGCATCATATTCCTTGAATATACATACTATAATTCATCCTACTGTTGGACCTACAAGTTGTTTTCAGTTTCTTAATACTATACTTATCTACTCTTATTTCTGATTCTTTTCTTTTTTGTGGGGGTGACTTGTAAACAAGGAAAATTTATTTCTCACAGTTCTGGAGGCTGGGAAGTCCAAGATCAAGGCTCTGACGGATTTGGTGTCTGATGAGAACTCACTTCCTGGTTGTAGATGATGTCAGTCTTTTCACCATATCCTTACATGATGTAAGGGGGCAGGGAGCTCTCTGGGGCCTTTTTTCTAAGGGCAAAGCCCTCAAGACTTAATCACTGTGCAAAGGCCTCCAAATACACTGCGGATTACATTTCAATATTTTAGGGAGACATAAACATTTAGTCTGTAACAATTCCCAAAAAGAATTTTATCAAATAACTTGAAATGACTGGGTCGAAAACAGGAAACTTTTGAAGTCTTTTGATTTGTATCATCAATTGCCTTTCCAGAACACTTCTGCCACCTTGATTAACTTTAGCCTTATTAGCAGAAATTTGTCCTTGAGAGCAGTCTGGTTTGGTTGTGAGTGATGAATGCTGTAAGAGTTTAAAGATGAGAGAATTAAGGAAAGAAAGAAAGAATTAAAGAAAGTTAAAGAAAGACTCAAGATTCAGCAGAAGCACAGCAGAAGCAAGGGTACTCTGGAAACAATGACTAGCATGTTGTAGAGACAGTCAAAATCTAGGTTTCCTAGGGTAGATACTTACTGAGTGGCGATATTGGGATGTAAGTTGAGAAAGGGGATATCAGCTGAGAGGGAACTTAATCCTGGGCACCTGGGTGGCTCAGTTGGTTAAGCTACTGCCTTTGGCTCAGGTCATGATCCTGGAGTCACTGGATAGAGTCCCTCATCGTGCTCCCTGCTCATCAGGGAGTCTGCTTCTCCGTCTGACCCTCCCCCTTCTCATGCTGTCTTTCTCATTCTCTTTCTCTCTCAAATAAATAAATTAAAAAAAAATATATATATATATATTTTTTTTAAGAGTGAACTTAATCCTATAGGTAGTAAGCTGTTGATGTGTTTTAAGCAGGGGAAGATATAAGCAAAACAATGTTTTAATGATTGTAGAAGACTGTCTGGGAAACCAGAAACATCATTAACAGTGGCAGATTTTTTTTTAAATGATCATCTGTCTTAAAATTACACTTCATGTAAATGTGCTAGGAATGATTTGCTCTGGTGTTTAGCATCTGATGGTGGTATGATTTACAACATGAGCTGTCTCTGGGAGCTCAGGTTTGATATTCAAATAGTGTAGCTTGGAGACCACAGTGGCTGGATCTAAAATGGTGGTCCGAAGCTATTTCACATGGAGGAAATCTCAGTTTTCATGAGATGAAGGTCAGTTGCCAGTGAACAGAGATGTCCAGACATCTCCTCTGTCAGGTGAAGTGAGACGTTTAGGAAGGTCTTTCCACTAGAGCCATTCTCGGTCCTCCATTTGGGTTTCACATATGCAGTTACAACAAATTCTGATGAAAAGTAATTTTGACCCCAAGCATTTCTTGGTAAATAAGGTTTCATCTTCTTTAACTGCATTTTTACCAATTTTAAGGAAATGAATATGTTGCAAATTTCGGTTTCCAGTGTGAATAAGTAAAATGTGATTCTTGCTATTGTATCATTATATTTTCTCCCTTTTTAAAGATAAACCAGATATTTTGAGTCAGGGCAACAACAATGACAGATATTTCGATTATTCTTTAATTAGCTGGCCATAATATATTTTATTTTCATAATATATTTATATTAAAATGTCTTATAAAACATGTCTACTTTTTTAAAGATTTTATTTATCTCAGAGAGAGAGAGAATAGGCATGCAGAAGGGGTAGAGGGAGAGGGAAAAAGAGAATCCCAAGTAGATTCCACTGAGCACGGAGCCCAGTTTGGGGCTCAGTCTTGGAACCCTGAGATCATGACCTGAGCTGAAACCAACCAAATGAGGCATGCAGGCACCCTAAGACAAGTACCCTTTTAAACTCCATCTGTATCTCACCATACTTAATGTAGCACAATGCTTACGCTGTGGAAAAATAAGACTTGGACTCAAGTTTTATAGTGTATTAAGCTTGGCTACAAGAGTGAATGAGGTGCCACACACAAAATTGGTAGGCCACGGGACGCCTGGGTGGCTCAGTTGGTTAAGCAGCTGCCTTCGGCTCAGGTCATGATCCCAGCGTCCTGGGATCGAGTCCCACATCGGGCGCCTTGCTCATCAGGGAGCCTGCTTCTCCCTCTGCCTCTGCCTGCCATTCTGTCTGCCTGTGCTTGCTCTCTCTCCCTCTCTCTCTCTCTGACAAATAAATAAATAAAATCTTTTAAAAAAAAAAAATTGGTAGGCCACCAAAGACTGAATGATTTTTCTTGAGATTCATTGTCACAAGGCACACTGATCATGGCAAAATGTTACAACCATGCAAAATATTTGATGGCATTAACATAGGATAATTTCCAGAAAGGGCTTTCAGGAAAAGTATAGCTGATACATTTTTGGAGAGGATGATGCTGTTTACTCAGGGTAGAGTAAAACATTAGGGTGTTTCTGACTTGTTGCAGCCTTAACCTTTCCTTAACTGGGTGATTCATGACATAGAGCTTGTCTCTTATGGGGAGGGCTGACTTCACAGGTATGTGACCTGGACAGTCACACATCGCTCTGTGCTTAGAAGCATCTGGTGCGGGGCGCCTGGGTGGCTCAGTGGGTTAAGCCTCTGTCTTTGGCTCAGGTCATGATCTCAGGGTCCTGGGATTGAGCCCTGCATTGAGCTCTCTGCTTGGGAAGAGCCTGCTTCCCCCTCTCTCTCTGCCTGTGTCTCTGTGTACTTGTGATTTCTCTCTCTCTGTCAAATAAATAAAATCTTTAAAAAAAAAAAAAAAGAAGCATCTGGTGCTTGGTTTGATGTTCTTCTGTCACCGTCTTAAAATTCCTAATAAATTTTGAACAATGGTCTGTATTTTTATTTTACTCTGGGCCCACAAATTATGTAACTGGTCCTGATCTCACTCTCTTTTACCATATATTATGGGCTAAACCATAGTTTTCCCAGCACCAAGTTATGGATCAGGTTAGGGTGAGGGCTGTAATGAGCCAAACAAGCTTCTGACCAACTCCTGTTGGAGGCTTGGAGGCTAAAGGAGGCTAAACTGAGTCCAGGAGGGAATGGAAGGAGAGAGCAGGAGGCAGAATCAGGTAGGGGCTACTGTCAGTTTTTCCACTAAGAATAACAGCAGTCTATACTCCTGGTACGCCCCCTACCACGTCTGCAAGGCTTTCACTGAGCCCTTCATGTGCCTTCTTTTCTTTTACTGAATCCTCTCAACAACCTGCAAAATTAGTATTGTTTTTATTGATGAGGGATCTGAAGTTTTCAGTAATGAAGTTGTCCATCGTTCTAGAGCTAGCAATGGTCTTTTCCCATTTGTTATTCTTTCTGCTCACTTATGAAGCAGCTAACCATCCTGTTAATGAAATTGAACTTGAATCACTTATTTGTCTACTTGACACTCGTTGTCAGGGAGAGGGCCGTAGACTAATGCTTACATAGGCTGTTTGTTGCTGCTTCTGTTTGTATACAATTGTAGATAGTTATGTTTTTTAGGACCTTCTGGATATAAATTTCTTTATCTTTTTGTCCAAGGGTACTATCTTGATAATATATTAATACTGGAAGTGTTTTTCCAAGATGAAATAGGTACACATTCCTTCTTTTGTCAGAAAGTCAACCCAGTAAACAGCTATATATTTTTTAAACTTGAGCCAAAATGGGGGCGCCTGGGTGGCTCAGTGGCTAAGCCTCTGCCTCATGACCCTGAGGTCATGATATCGGGGTCCTGGGATTAAGCCCCACATCGGGCTCCCTGCTCAGAGGGGAGTCTGCTTCCCCCTCTCTCTCTGCCTGCTTCTCTGCCTATTTGTGATCTCTCTCTCTCTCTGTCAAATAAATAAAAAAAAAATCTTTTTTTTTTTTTTTTAATTTATTTGTCAGAGAGAGAAGGAGAGAGAGCAAGCACAGGCAGACAGAATGGCAGGCAGAGGCAGAGGGAGAAGCAGGCTCCCTGATGAGCAAGGAGCCCGATGCGGGACTCGATCCCAGGACACTGGGATCATGACCTGAGCCGAAGGCAGCTGCTTAACCAACTGAGCCACCCAGGCATCCCTAAAAATAAATCTTAAAAAAAAAAACAAAACTTCATCCAAAATGACATTTTGTTTCTTGGTTATTTCTGTTATCGTTTTTCTAGTTGTTCTATGTGATTGTGATCTGCTGAAATTAAAATAGATTATCGTGTTTTCTATTTTAATTTTGCATTAAAATAAGGTTTTTCAAAAATTTGTGAATAGATTCTATTCTAGCCTAACCCCAATTATGTCTCCTGCAGGAAACCATTTCTGGCGGCTCATGTGCGCAGGCTTGGATATAGTTCCTCAACCCATCACAGGTACATTCCACGGAGGGCCGTGCTCTATGTACCTGGAAATGATGAAAAGAAAATAAAGAAGATTCCTTCCCTGAATGTAGATTGTGCAGTGCTCGACTGTGAGGATGGTGTGGCAATGAACAAAAAGGTAATGGCATGATTTGTACTTAGGATGGGAAAAAGAAATGGATTGATACTTGGTGCTATCTTGAAGCATGGCTTACTAGTTGCAAAGACTCTACCATAGTCACCTTTTGTTGGTTACTAATATATTCTTGACCCAGCCTTCCTCTCGATTCTGAGTGTGTGTGTGTCTTTTCTCCAAGAGAAAGGAAGAACGCAACCAAAATATACTTAAAACCATGACCTTCAATATATGTGACTATGTACGTATATTAATAAAGAGACACTCAATCCTTTTTGGCTATGCAATTTATCAGTTTGGCTAAATGAGTTAATCCGAGAATTGTGATGTAAATTTTTTAGACCAGTAAGACGCAACCAGGAGTTTATTTCTTTTTTTATGTAGGCTCCATGCTGGAGCCCAATGCCGGGCTTGAACTCATGACCTTGAGATAAAGACCTGAGCTGAAACCAAGAGTCTGATGCTCAACTGACTGAGCCACCCAGGTGCCTCAGGAATTTACTTCTTTTTAATATAGAGAAATGGCCTTATCTCTTCTGGGACAAGTGCCAAGAAAATAAAAGACTTCTACAAAGAAGTCACCATTTGCCCTACTTAGTTTAAGGAAAACTACCTGCAGAACCTTAAGGCTGCAGCTTTTGGCTTATTTCCTCATGGCCTGACCAGAGAACTAAGCCTTAAAAAATATCCATTGCAAATAGGTACAAAAGTTTCTTACTGGGTGGTGGCGTAATGGGTGCTTTTTTGGTTTGCTTAACTTCATTTTCTAGGTTTTTATAATGAAAATGGATTTCTTCTGTAATTAGGTGAAATAATTAGGTGTAAACCATTATAACAATAATTTATGTCTGCATGGAACTTTTTAAGTTAAAAACATGTTTTTCCTTGACCTTCTTCTGTCTAGTCCCTAGACAGTGAGGTTGTCTGGGAAGAGATTGTAGGGCTGGGGGACAGAGGGAGCTGACCATCTGGATTGGTGCCTATATGGACACTTTCTTGTCTTAAGTGATCTGAAATAGCGTGGCTGTACTATATAGCTTTCTTGATTAATTGCTTTCCTTGGAGGGCCTAGCAAACAAATATTTGCCTTAATTAAAAAAGAAAAAGTTAACTTCCAGCATCTTCCTAATGGTCAAATCAAGACTTTCCAAGTATTTGGAAAAGGATTAGAAGAAGCATGTGGAATCTAAAACGTCTCCTCGACATCTTTGGCCTGCCCCAAGGAAAATACAATTAATCTTCTTTTTCCCAGAGATTAAGGTAAATAGGCCTTTTCTTGAAGGATTTAATGTGCTTCCAGTATGCTCCCCTCCAAAACTCATGTAGTGCACTCTAAGATTAGATACTAAATTGTAATTTCATTTCTTTGTGACCCAGGGCAATTCACTTTACTTCTTTGCCTCAATTTCTTATCTATACTGTGGGATGACAAAATCTTCTTTTGTCAGGGACAGGGATTATTATGAGGAAAAAAGTTTGATAAAATGCCTGGGAGTAGCTTGATTTCCTATAGGAAATAGATTAGATAAATCCTGTAATAATCATGATTAGAGGGGAATTTATTTTCGCATGTAGCACAGTGAGCCATTAGGTACCCTGATAAACTTCTAATTATATTTCTTCACAAATCTTGAGGCTATCTTCCCATATCCACTGGAGGATGTTTCCTGCCACCCAGATAAGATGGAAATATGGTCCATTCTTTCTTCACATTTCCTTATTGTTCACCTGTGATCTCAAGTTCATCCTTCTACCCAGTGCCTCTACTTACGAGGAAGCTGAAGAAGGAAAGGGAAAGAAAGAATTCATGATGGGCCCCTGTGCCCACCATCTTTGCATTCCTATCCAGACAGTGTCTTCATTAGGACACTCCAATTTTTTTTTTTTTTTAATTTATTTGACAGAGGGAGTGATCACAAATAGGCAGAGAGGCAGGAGAGGCAGGCATAGAGAGAGGGGGAAGCAAGCTCCCTGCTGAGCAGAGACCCCGATGTGGGACTCCATCCCAGGACCTGCGATCATGACCTGAGCCAAAGGCAGAGGCTCAACCCACTGAGCCACCCAAATACCCTAAAGGACGCTCCAGTTCTTAATGCAGTTAAACTTTCCATTAATTAAATTACAAGCTGGGCTTGTAAAAAATTTTTTTTTCTTTAAAATCTCTGTCTCGGACTTAATTTTATCTCATATATTTTATTTCATAGCCCTTACTTATCAAGGTCTTTTTGGATTTTGATTTCATCATTCATCATTTATAGCATTTGAGAATTTGACTAGTATATCCTGTGAAAATTTAACAAGTTTCTGATGGAAACTTTGAAGAGGTTGGAGCCAAGTACTGTGCAAGCATGCAGCTAAAAGCTTCTGTTCATGTTATATTTGTATAGTGCTGACTAAATGCCAGGCACTATTCTAAGGGCTTTAATTTGTATAACAACCGAGTGAGGTACTATTATTACACTATTTCTACAGATCGAAACTGAGGCATGGAGAGGTCAGTTTCATGAATCAATACTGTGAGTACGGCTATTCAGTCACTTAATGCTTCTAAAATCCAGTCTTTTCATAAGGATATTATGAGAGATTTTTTTATCTAATGCCATTTTAAAATAAAGATACCATCCCAATTTACATACCTAGAAATACCTTCTCCCCCTGCACTTAAACCTTGCTAGAAAAACGAGGTTAAGCAGATGAGTCTTGATCTTGAAGAACCCATATCAGTACCTAGTTATTAACATCTTCATTTTGAAGTGCTGGAGATAGAAAAATAGTAACAGCTACCATTTACCAGATTTTTCTATGTAGGAGGTGCTATATTAAATGCTTTTAATATATTATTTCATTTAATCCTCGCAGCAATTTTGAGCTATGTCCAAGGTCACAGTGCCATTAAATATAGAACTAAGATTTGAATCTCCTAGAATTTTTGCCAGGAATCAGCCTCAAGTTCACCTGTCTGCATAATCCCATAATTAAACTTTTCCCCCTTTCGTGGCAAGTTTGTACCTTGGCTTTTCTCTTTTGTCACCTTTGTGTACTCCATGGTTTCTCAAAGATTACTGATGGGAGCTCTTGTGTCCACCTCCGCAAATTCTTTGAGTGTCCTGGAATTGTAATCTATTTAGACCTAGCGACTTCAATTCATTTGAAATGACCAGATACATCTGAAACTTCTCACATATTGCACATACATTCCTTTTTTCTTTGTTAAAGTCACCTTTTAATCATATTTCTTATTGAATTATTAGTCTTCTTGATGAACAAGATGGAATAGAGACCATTTTTAGGGAGTTTATTTCTTAAGAAGAAATCCATGTTAAAACTCGTTTCAAATGTTTTCCTTTTTTTTGTTTCAGATGTTCTAATTATACTTTTGCTAAACTGAACTATTACTGTCTAATCAACTTCCTTGGCACTATTAAAACTTAAGTTGCTTCATTTTATATCTCATTTTATTTCTTTTTTTTATTAGTAGACTCATTCAATATTTCATTTGATTGACACTGTGGAGTATGGGCTTGTAATGAAAACAAAAGGAGTTTCCATAGAGCAGTTTATAAGTGTATAATACCTTCCAGCAGGCTCGAATCCTGTCCTGCTAATCCAATTTGTGTTTAAGTAGTTTCTTCATGTCATGGCACTACCAGCTCACCTTCCCAAGTATGGATGATGAAAAGACAGTCTCCACTCCCCTTTTATCTTTTCCTTTTCATTGTTAAATGCAAGAGGAGCTACAGGACTGCATAAGTCACTGCTTGCTGGGACACAGTGAAAATAAGCCAAGTAATGCACAGATTTCTGGTGAATCTCCATGATACTTGGGTGGGGCCAAGAAAGTAGGAGTGGAATAAATAGAGACAGAATTCCAGGGCTGCTATTTTAGTTGAATAAATATATAAGCAAATATTTAAATGTATTTAATATTTAAGCTTAAATATGTAAATTTAGATACTCAGGATCTAAATAAATATTGAGTATCTACTCAGCCAGGCACTGTGGCAAGATGGAGGGGAACAAAGATGATTGCATGGTCCCCAACACAGAGGACTCAAAGGCTGGTGATGAGACAGGCAAAAAGTAGAAAATTATAATCTAAGCAGATAGGTCTATAAGAACATGCATTTCTTATTCTCATTTGGTTCTAAGTATTTTTTCAAAGATTTATTTATTTGAGAGGGTGAATGCATATGTGCATGAATTGGGAGAAGGGTAGAAGGAGAGAGAGAGAGAGAATCCCAACCAGACTCTGCTGAGTGAGGAGCCTGATGAGGAGGATGGGGCGCGGCTCTATCTCACAACCCAGGAGATCATGACCTGAGCCAAAATCACAAGTCAGATGACACTTAACTGACTGAGCCACCCAGGTGCCCTGGTTCTAAGCTTTTTTTAATTTACATTTTGATCTCTTGCTTAATCCAGGAGCTTCCAAAGAGTGCATGCCAAGTTCTCTGTGGTAAAGAAACGATTCGGTTATTTTTATTTGTTGTTACTTTATTTTGTTTTTGTTTTTGTTTTTGTTTATTTATTTGACAGACAGAGATCACAAGTAGGCAGAGAGGCAGGGGAGAGAGAGAGAGGGGAGGAAGCAGTCTCCCTGCCAAGCAGAGAGCCCGATGCGGGGCCGGATCCCAGGACCCTGGGATCATGACCTGAGCCGAAGGCAGAGGCTTTAACCCACTGAGCCACCCAGGCACCCTTTTATTTTGTTTTTTTAGCACTTCTACTCTATTGCTAACTGACACTTATAAAATACAAAAAAAAAAAAAAAAAAGAATTTCTAGAAAAATTAAATGCTGCTTGGGTGTCACAACAATGTCAAATACTATAGATGTTTCTAAATTCGTAACTCCCCATTTCATATGTACCTCCTAGTGTCATGGTCACAGTCAGAGTTTGTGGACGAGTGGTCCACAGACCACAGTTTGAGTAGCAAGGACTTTGCATTTTTGAAGTTTCAAGCATAGGAGAGATTTCTCATTTATTTTTTAATTGCTGACCTC